GCTGACGTTGGGTGACATGTCTATAGGAAATATGTTAAGTGTTTGAATTTTGGTCTGTTGGATTGGACTTTGAATGAGTGTGATGAGTACGTTCACCCGTGTCGCAGTTAGCTTAGTGAAGTACAGTGGGAGTATTAAACGAAATCGAGTCGTCCACGTTGAATGAATGAAAAAAATGTGACACCAAGACACAATATACATCAATTATATAGGCCGAACGATCGTGAGTACGTGTCGCTGTATTAAAAACGATATGTGTCGCCTATATTTTGTCTTTATACAACGGATCTGTCAAAAATAAAATTGCACCTTTCCTAGGAATAACTAATTTGTAAACTCGTGGCCGTGGCCGAGGACAATAATATGTAAAAAGGATACAATTGCAGTGTTAACCGGTGCGTCTCCATGATCTAGGTGCCGAAGGAGAATCAGGAGCCTGTCCTTGGCTGCCATTCTTCCTTGTAATGCGAACTGAACTGCTAAATCAGCCGTCCCTAGTCATATACGGCACGGTTACTAACCGTGTATACGACAATTGTTATTGTTCTGCGACCTTTGTAGTTAGTAATCAAAGGCTTACTAGTGTAATTTTTTCGTGAAGATGGCGCCCTCATATTCCAATGCAATCAAAAACGATCAAATGGAGCAATGGCGCATGCACACTGGCAGGTTTTTTTTTTTGTTTTTTTGCAGCATCTACAGTCTGTAGCAGCATATTTTGGATATACTATATCAATGGATATACTAGTACTTTTGAAAAGGTATCTCGGATACAAATTAACACTGTTCAATATTGGGATCGTGTTTTGCGTCAAAGCTCGGTACAAAATGGTCTTAGACTAGTAAAAGCACCTTTGTTGTGACAATAAACACATTTTAACGCTCATTTCTTGTGGAAGCACTTTTGAAACATGTGTGTTGGAAAAAAAACAAAAAAAACATTTGTGTAGGGAGAAAGCATTTTTCAAGGCGATGTGAAAGTAAAAACTTTTCAAAACGTGTTTATTGTAGAATTATGAAGTGTTTTCATCATATTTACTTTTTCCAATGCAGACTATAAACGCTTCAAGTATTTTAAAGTGGCATTAGCTATAATTTTTAACACAAAGATGGCTAAATCTTACTGAAATTTTGTTTT